GGGGGGGGGGGGGGGGGGGGGTATTGGTGCAACCTTACATCTTTTTTTTTTCCTTTTTGTTTCGAGGGTGCAAAATTTCTTTTCTTAAAACAAAATGGTTATTTTAGCATATAACTTTTCGTAACACAATCAAAGTAAGTCAATAAAACAGAAACTACACGGAAACAGCTTAATTACAGGGTTTATTCTAAAGCTATGTGATCATTTAAAAATCTTTTAATTTGACTGTATCTTTCCACAGCTGACAGAGAAAGTAAAGCGAAAACAGGAAAGGTAATAAATAAACAACAGTGATCTGGTTTTAAAGACTGGGCTTCCGGGCTTTGTTAGGCCCAGGTTTAACTAGCGACATTAAGACATACAGCTGTAACGACATAGAAAGACGTTGTGTCGTCATGTTTGCAGCGTGAACATCCTGACATAACTACATAGCAACATAACAGCATGAACATAACGACATAAGGGAAAAACTGATATTTTGTTTATGGCTTGGTTCACATAACCGACATAACGACATTGTTATGCCATTACACTAACGACATAACGACATTAGGAAAAGATCAGTTTTATCTTTATGTTGTTATGTTCGTGCTGTTATGTTGCTAATATGTGATTATGTCTACATGTTCACACTACAAACATAACGTCCTTTTTATGTCGTTCGTGACGATGTCGTTAAGTCGTTATGTCGCTAGTATGAACAAGGCCTTACTATGCAAACGTTCATCGCGTTCTTCCCGGGATTGTCCCGCGGGAAACGTGTTTCTCTCAGCGTTCTCAATGCACCTTAAAGGTCTCAAGTAACGAGGTAGAAATAAGTACTGCGTAGCGCCTTGAGCTAGATAGATTAAGTATTTTTTTCCTCCGGGCGCTAAAATACTGCCGAAGTCTCAGGCCATGACACTACAGTACACCGGAGGAATTTGAAAACGCAGCTTTATTTCTACGGTTAGGCTTACCGTCTACGCTAATCCGTCACGAAAACGGAACTTTTCGAAAACGTTCTTCAAACCGGAGGAATTTGAAAACGCCGTAGTTGCGTTTTAGTGTGGACGGGAAACATTTTGAAAACGGAGCTTTTCGAGGACGACGACGTTACGATAGTCTTTTGATTTCCCTGTCCGAGTTTTCCTCAAACACAAATCCAAAATGACCGTTGATTGTTAAGTGTTTCTCCGGCGTAGTGTGGACGGAAAACATTCGATGTGTTTTCAGAGCAGTGAAACCTCCGTTTTCAAATTTCTCCAGCGTAGTGTGGACGGTACTTCACACATATCTGGACAAGCGCAAGTAGTTTGCCTACGACTACAAAATAATGAATTGAACTATCAAGTAAAGAAGGCAGTAATGCTGAAACTTTGGTATTTTTATCTGACATCTTAGCTCCCCCCCCTCCCCCCCCCTGACAGAAAAAGAAAAAAATTACCTTAGATTAGTCGAAATAATGTCTACAGTTACTTTACTGTTTGTCAGCTTTTTCCTGTTCCTGATGTTGTATATAATTCTACAGAATGAATCAGTTTGCTGTGTTATACACAGAGGAAAAGAATGTCTGCGTATTGTACTGTCCAGTATAGAATCAATGTACTGGAAAAACTTCAAATTACCAAAAACTACAAAATTAACTTCAAATTGAAGGAAACCTGAAAATGATAGTTTACTAAGGCAACAACAACAACAAAAAAATACCAAAGAGATGATATTAAACCATAAAGGAACAAGGATGGTTAAGCATGGAGAAGATTAACACGGATTACAGACGACGAGCCTGAAAATTTTTGGCTAAACCTTTCAATATGCGAAAACCGTGATGTACAGTGTAGTTCCTTTGAAAGCAAAAGTAGAAAGTCAAAGCAGTAACATATTGTTTGTACAACATCTGCAAGCAAAGGGTTTTGAATGACTGGAAAACGATAAGAACTGAATGATCCAACAATCCAAAATGATGCAATGTATCAAATGTTGTTCTGTCACCCCTACACATCTTATTGGCTTTTTTGCCGTTTTTGTTTTTGTTCGAAAAATAAAATCGAATTTACTCCCAGTTTTATAGAGCATGCCTAAAAGGTTTTGCACTGTTAGTCGGGCCAGTAGTGCACGATTACAACGAGGTTTTATTGAATTAGCCGTAGTTCTCAAAATCTTCATTTTACCTTGCTGGTTCAGGGCCGAGAAGACTCCAGGCAATATTCTCCCAGTGCGGCCCTTGTGTTCGGTCAATAAGAGTTAAGTAGTTCATACTTAAAGCCAGGATAGTGCTAAGCCTATTTCAGTTATCTGATAAACGTTCAATTAAGTGAAAACATTGTTACCTGTTTATCTTCTCGCAGTTATCTTCAGCTTCAAGAAGAGAAGGAGAAACTCTACTCAGAAAACAAGTAAGATCAACCTGTAACTTCACCTTACAACTTCAATAAATCATCTGGTAGACAGGTGTTGAGAAGAAAGAAACCAATCCACTTGGTGTTATTGTCTTGATGCAGAGCCAAATTCTCAAAGCCAGCATTGATAGCAATCTACGGCAAACGATTACGAGAATTATAATTTTTATCGCGGGAGTTCAACGACTTTGGCTGCGTAATAACGAATATTTTTGGAAGTATTTAATGTCACGATTTTGGAAAATTACATTTTGGGATACTTAGCTTACCCATTTTTAGAGGGGGTGGGCGGGGGTGTGT